CCCAGTCAGGGCACATACACAAATCAACCAATGATTGCATAAATAAGTGGAACAATAAATCAATGTTTCCTTCTCTCTCAATTTAATAAATACATTTTTAACAAGAAAATATAAAACTAAATATATTTGTTAAAAATTTGAGAAAACTTACTACTAAAATGTAAACTTACAAACCAGTGAAGGAAAAAAAGTGATATTGCTCAGTTCAATAGAAGGCAGAAAAGTAGGGGAGGGGCACAGCAAAGAAAAGCAGATCAAATGGAAAATGTTTAAAGAGATGATAGAAATAAACCCAAATAAATCAGTAATCAAAATACATGTTAGTGGATGAAATATGTCTACTAAACTCTAGCTCCATACAAGCAACACATCTAAACAGGAAGATATAGGAAGGTTGAAAATAAAACATGGAAAAAGATAAATTGGAAAATTAATCAAAAGAAAGCAGCGTAACAATAAAATCAAACAAAACAGATTTCCAGGCAAAAACCATTAGTAAAGATTAAAAGCAGCCTTGTTTAAGGATAAAAAAGCCAACCTACCAAGAAGACAACATCAATCATAAGCCTGAATACTTCTAAATAGCACCTAAACTAAACTAAATATAACTAAATCGCACTAAAAATAACAGTAATAATAATAAAATCAGTAAAAATGACACATCCTCAAACATGCTGAGACACTTTAACACACCTTTCTCAAAAATGGTAAATCAAACATCCAAAAAATCAAAGATAAACATTTGAAAAATATAATTGGTATGTTCAATCATATATGTGTACATAGGAGGAAGGAAGCCTCGACAAACTCTAAGGAATGAATATCATTCAGAAGGTATACTATGACCACAAGGTAGCAAATTTAGATTCAATAATGAAAAAGTAGACCTCTCCCTAAAAATACATTTGAAAACAAAAAAAAAAAGTTTTAATAATTCCTGAGCTAAAAAGGAAATTATAATGAGAGTTACAAACCATTTCAAACTAAACAATAAAAACAGTGCCTCTCAAAACTTATGAAATGCAGCTATAGCAATTTAGTTAGAAGGGAGTTTATAGCCTTAAAAGCACACATTAGAAAATAATAAATCATGTTCAAAAAGCTGGAAAAAAGGGCAAATATGGTAGAAAAAAAGAATATAGTAACAGAAATAGTAAATCAAAGAAAATATTAATGATAAATAATTATTAAATAAATTATAAATTAAATAATTGAGATGCTCACCAAAACTAAAAGCTAGTTTTTTAAAGACCAATAAAATCTAATTTAAAAATATATTTAAATGATAAAATATTCAAACCTCAGGCAAGATTGATCAAGAACAGGAGGAAGGAATGAAAAGGGACATAACCTATAGATATGATAAAAGTTTATAAAATTATAATACTATACCAATATCTGAGCCAAAATTTTTGAAAATTGTCAATTTTGTAAACTGGTCTATTTTTTAAAAGAATACATATCAGTAAAATTAACTCAGGAAGAAAAATAAAACCAGAATAGATCAATATCTACTAAAAAAACTGAAGCTGTAGTTCAGGAAGTTTCTCCTATTCCCAAAAGGCATCAGGCTGAGATAGTTTTATAGGCAACCTTTACCAAAACTTTAAGGAATAGCTAATTCCTACTTTACACAAATTGTTCCAGACAACGAAACACAGAGAATGCAATCAAATTTATCTTAGGAGTCTAGCATAACCTTAACATCTGAACTAAATAACAACAATAAAAACAAAATAGTAGGCTAATATCACCTATGAACATAGATATAAAAGTCTTAACATAACAGCTATTCAAAAAACCAGCATATATAAAAATCATATAGCAAGTTGGTGACCAAAACCGCTGGAGTTCAATATATCCATTCTTCTCTTTGTCTATTCCATAGCCTCCCTTACAGCTAGATACCACTATGTGATGAGGTTTCGGCCAATGTGATGTCGGTGAAAATCTATTTCTTAAAAGGAAGGACTGCATCTCTCCTCTCTTTTTCCCTCCCACTGCTCAAAATGCAGACAGGATGGCTATAGCTTAACCTTCAGCTCCCTGAATGTGAAATGATACACAAAAGGTGGTAAAGCAGCAAGACAGAAGGAGCCTCAGGACCTGACACCTCACTTCTATATCCAGGCTTTTTTTTTTTTTTTTAAATGAGAGGGGAAAATAGTAAGACACTATTGAGGCCCTATTATTCACAATCAAACTTAATCCCAATTGATAACAGTATCAAGCATGGTTTATCCCAGGAATGAAAGAATGGGTCAACATGGAAAATCCATTAATATTGTATAATTCACCACATTACAAATGAAAGGAGAAAATCTATGATCATCTAAGTAGGTTCTAAAAAAAAAGTTCAATAAAATTCCACTCTGATTTTCTATTAAAAAATTAAAATAAAAACTCTTAGCCAACTAGGAATAGAAGGGAATTTCCTCAACCTGATAAACGATATTCATCAAAATCTGTAGCATGCATCATCATACTTATAAGAGTGAGAATTGAGAAGATATCCACTAACATCAGGATTGGGACAAGTGTGGTACACTCAACAACAAACTAGAAGTCCTATTCAATGCACTCTTGCAAAAAAAAAAAAAGAAAAGAAAAGAAAACTGGTTTAAAGAAAATATCCTCATTTGCAGGAAAAAAAAATTGACTATATAGAAAACCCATTATGATTTCCAGATAAACTATGAGCCCTAATAAGAGAGAGCAGCAAAGTTGCTGAATATAAAACCAATATATAAAACCTAAGTGTCCCCATACACCAGCAGTGCCGAATTATAAAATACAATAGAAAAAAACAAAAACAAAAAATCCCCAACACAAGAGCTTCCCAAATGCAAAAGACCATCATCTTTCTTCCCTATATCCACTATTACGTCCCTCAAATTCACTCTCCACTCAGCAGCTAGTGATCTTTTGTAAACATAAATTAGATCATGTCACACTGCTCTAACCTTTTAATGGGTACTCATTAATTATAATTCAATTCTACTTCATCATGCCCATGCTCCGCATGACCTGGCCCCTGCCACTCTCTCATCCCATTCCACACCAGCTACATGACCCTTCTTTCAGCTCCCCATGTAGGTCAAACTTTTTCCTGCCCCAACCCCTTCACATATGCTATTTCCTCTTCCTGGAAACACTGTATTCCCACCTCTGCACCGCAATTATCACCTGAGTGTTTCCAGTCAATATTCAAGTCTCAGCTTAAATGTCACCTACTTAACCTAAATAAGGTCCCTTCTCTCTTAGCTCCTGCTTTTTTCTTTCATATTCCCACCCTAATGTGTAATAATACCTTATTACATATTATACTGTAGTGAGTAATTGTATTTTTATTCATGGATGATTTATTCATTGCTTTGATTCACCTCTAGACCATAACTTCTATGAGGGCAAGAGTCATGTCTTTGATGTTTCCCTGAGCATTTAACAGGAGCTGTCATATGAAAGATGCTTAATAACTATCTTCTGAATGAATGACTCAACGAATGGATGACAGAGTTTGTTGATTTAGCCGAAGTCTCAGTAGAATGCCTACTGCACTCTTCCCCGGATCCAGGCTTGTTAGGAGGAATGGGGGGACCCCAGAGGCATATCTGGATGAGGGACCAAGAAGCCTCATGCGGAAGTAAGTGGGAGCACATGGACTTGGTTTATGATCTATGGGGCAGCATTAGAGTGGGGCATGGAGTGCGGGTTCTGACACAGAACTGCATCCACCGTAACTCCTAACCTATCTCTCAAGAAACACGAGTCATGGACTTGGGAAATTGGGTTGACCATAAAGTGCTACTTTGCTGCGATCTTTGTGTAATATTAAGAGTTTGCAGGACAGTAGCTTTCAGGGGTGGTAGGGGCAACAAGAGCAAAATTTTGCCACACTTCATGAGGGCATTACGGGCTCAGGAGAACGTGGCATTGCAGAGAGCTAGAGTAAGAGTGGAGAAAAATGGTGAATCCCACAGGAAACCCAAGAAGATTTGTTCAGGGATGGACACACACACACACACACACACACACACACACACACACATACACACACACACACACACACACACTACAGCCCAGGGGTTCCCAAAAAGAATTGAGGGAAATTTAGGGGAGGCCCCCACAAATGGCATCTGGGAACAGAGCTGCGAGAGGCTGCTTCTGGGATTCTAGTTTTACTCCTCCAGTGGGTGTGGCCTGGGCAACACAGATCACCATGTAACCCTTACAACCAGCCCTGGGCAGGTTCCCAGACACCACACTTAGGGCCACTGGCCTGGCAGCACTGCAGCCCAGAAGGCAGGTGGGCCACTCTGGCACTGCCCCATGGTCGTCAGAGAGAGCATCTTTCCACGGGAACTCAACGACAGAGGGACTTCTCCCGGTATGCCCCCCAGAGCTCACAATGCTGATTTTTCCATTGGAAATTAAGGAAGCAATGTTTCTGAGGCCATCTACTGCCAGAATGCTGGCTGCTGGTAATTCTACCATCTTGGGCACACCACAGACTCAGGCATGTAATACCCCCAACTGATTCAATGCCGCATGAGCCAAGTGAGGAGGTGTGTTATATCTGCCAGGGGCCCCTGAGAGGCAATCTTCATTTCTGTTTGTTTCTCTTGGAGCCCACATACTTTGTACACCACAGTAAGTAACAAGCCATTGGCAAAATCCTGTAATTTCCTCTAAAGGACAATTGTTGGAGGGCCTGCTCAACACCTATCTGTAGCCTCTCCCTTCCCTTAATCACTGTGTATCTCCCATCCACTTCAGAGCACCTGGGACAGGCACGGGTACAAGAAGAATTCACTTCAGATTTGATGCCTGCCCATCTCTGTGGATAACCCCCGGGGCTGCTCAGACTCCTCCCAATGAAGAGGGTTTAGTCTCATCCAGGAGGAGTGGGTGCCCAAGGAGACCAGGCCACTGAAGCCGATATGCTGCCCTCTCTCCTCACCTCCCCCAAGGAACCTTGACATGGCCCCACTCAGACCTACCTCTTGTCCTCTTCCACCTGCACGCCTATGGAGTGGAACTCTCTTCGACTCCTGTTCTCTGTGTCTGAGTCTGAGATAGTCTCCACCTGGTGGCAAGGTTGGGGAGTCAGTGGAGGGGGCCAGCCCAGGGATGCCAGCCCTTCCCAGGGACAGAGGCCAGCACTGTTTGAGCCCCAAGCCAGCTGGCAGGTCCTGTAACGACAAGCTGCCTGAACAAGATGAGAGACCCAGGAAGTCAGTGGCATCCAGGTGGCAGCCCCTGGGCACTACTCTCCACTCGCCAGTAGGGATGACAGTGCCTGGGAGAGGCACGAGGGAGTGGGCTAGGGCTGGTTTGAAGCAGCCTTGTTGAAGACCAAGCACAGGGGTGCCTGCAGCTCAGAGTAAGCCACGGAAAAGGTCTATGTGTCCAGAAGCTCCCAATCACCCACTCAACCCCAACAGGCCGGGGCCCGAGCTTTCGCCCACCCCCCTCCTTCCGTACCTGCACCCCAATGGACGGCCGCCACTTGCGCTGCCGCGCCAGGCTCCGCAGCTCCTCCCTGCCAGGAATGGTCTTGATGATGAGTGTGGGGGGCTTGGGGCTGGCCCGAGGGGGCACCGGCGCCAACTCCAGAGTGCGCGCACCCATGGCGGGGCCGTCCAGCCCGTCGGCGGAGCTGCAGCGCCGGGCGGGGCCCTCGGCCGCGGTGAAGCTCTCGTGGGCGGAGTCGGTGCTGCTCTGGGCGGTGATGGAGATGCGGGGCGGGGCCTGGCTTCCCGGCGGGATGGGGGGCGGGGCCTTTCTGAAGTTGAAGGCTGCGACCGGGAACGCGGAGACGCCGCGGGTGACGAACGCGCCCGGCCAGCGCCTCTGGCCGACCCCCACCCCCCGGCACGCGGTCCCCAGGTCTCCACGGGCTGCCACGCACAGAGCCAAGGGCTGTTCTCCCCATCACCCCTCCCAGAAAGGGCAAGCGATCTGCCCAAGGTCACACAGCACTGCTGTGACAGGGGCCCGAACCGGAACCCAAGGCCCTCTCCAACCCAGGGCCCAGGGCCTGCTGGGGGCAGAGCCGGCGTACTCACAGGAGCCGGGCCTCCCTGAGACAGAGGCGGGGGCAGCAAGGAGGGGCAGGCAGTCGTCGTCTTGAGAGCAGCCGGCCTGGATGGCCCGGAGGTAGCTGTGGCTCCGCATGCGGAAACAGCCGGGCAGGTCCAGGGCGTCCACGGCTTGGGATTCAAGCTCCCCAAACACAGACCCGCACACAGCCTCCAGTTGCTGGTTCAGCTCCTCGCTGAGCTGGGGGACAGAGGCCAAGGGGATAGTCATGGGGGTGCTGGGATGGGTGGAGGGGGCCTCTGAGGCCCTCTCCCACAGGAGTGTGTCTAGATCTGCAGCGGCTGTGTCTCTGTGCCGACTCCTCTGCCTTTGGACTAAAAGAAACTCTCCCCCTCTGCAAAGAAACATGGAGGCACCTTTGCCCTGTGCTGCTCCCCAAAATGCCTCAAAGCCAGAGTTAGGGGTTTAGTCTTTCCTCTAAATACTGCTGTACCCTAGCCTCCAGACCACCGCATCTTCCTTTCCACCTAGTCCCAGGCCCTCACGTTTCTCTCACCTGACCATGAAGGATGGACCAGGGACCTGACAGCCACCCGCCTGCCCAGTATGGTGGCGGGGAGCTGCAGGGAAGACCACCTTTTATTATTCATGATGCACTACGTTGCTGACTGAAAGCAACTTGCAGAGATACATACCATGCTGCAGGACAGACATAAACAGGTAAGTGATAGAGCAAAAATTATTAACCTTCAAGTGTTTCGGGCCTCCCCCCACCTTCTGCCCACTAACTAGGGCTCTGGTTTACTCCACTGGCTCCTTCCCTGCCCTCCACCTCTAAGGAAAGTTCAGCCATTGTTGGACGAGCTTCTCATTTGTGTTTCTGATATTTTGTGGTGCAGAAACCACACTGTTAAAAAAAAAATAAAGCAACTAAGAAAAAAAAACACAAAAATTGTATTCACAGAACCGTGTCACACAACACTGCACTAAGACTAAATATACCACTTTCATTTGTGTTATATGAGAAAACTGGGCACAAAGGAAAAAATAAAGGCAGGCAAAGAAGGCGGTCCAGTGGTAAGCTCTACACCCAGAGCACAGGATGGGTGCACATCTGACCCTGAGCTTCAGAGCAGCCAAAGCATCAAGGAGCACAGCCTACAGGGTGCCTGCATGGGCTGTGACGTGGGACCCATGTAAACTCAAGTGCTAGCTCTGCTACTTCCTCACAGCACAGTCTGAGAAAGTGACTTAAAGTTTTGGGGCCTCAGTTTAATCATCTGTCAAATGGGAATAATAATGGTACCATCTCCGGGGTCAAAAAGAAACCCCACAAACCTGTGAGACAGTTGGTGCAGATACTGGCACATAGTAAGTGCTCAGTCAGTGGCATTTGAGGGCCTCAGAGCCTGTCTGGTAAACACAGGCCAGCGCTCCTGCCACTGAGCCCAGGAGAAGTTCCCCCACGAGTGACTATATAACAGCCAAGGAATGAAGTCATGGACAAAGGCCTCAGTAGCACCCACATGGTGAATGTGACAGCAAGTATCCCAGGGCTGCATCTTGTGACATCTCCCAGGAAAGGCCCATGCTATCATATTTATGTGCAGAAAACGGAGGCCCAAAGGAGTGGCTTGATTCATGTGTGAAATGCAGTTCAGTGTCTCCATAACTGAGCCTCCAAAGCATAATGTGGTACCATGAGATTCTACATCAAATTGAGAGGAATCTCCATCCCATTCCACTGGTGGGCAAACAAAGGCCCAGAGAGGATAGATAAATTATCTAGGGATGCCTATCTTGTTAGTGGTAAAACCAGTTAAATGCCAAATGTCCTGGCTCTCATGCCAGGCTGGCTGACCATCAGAATCTCTCAGGGAGATTGTTAAACCAACATTAACTAAAGCCCCACCTCAAGGATCTGAACTCAGGGCTCTTTAACTATATGCCTCTCCTTTCTTCGGCTCCTTTGAAGCTACGAGCCAAATTTGCTGGAGATTCAAACTCAGTGGTTCCAATGTGGTGTCAGTAATTTAAAAAAGGACTGCCTAGATTTCTTTTGGCAGCTTTTTCTAAGGGAACTTTATTACAGGTGTATAGAAGTCATAGGCCATGGAAAAATCAATCCAAGATCCTGTGGGAGTTAAGTTCACCCGCATTTGACTGGCATAAGCCACATTCCTGTGGCAGCTGTGGCTTCGCCAGGACTCCTGTGAGTCTCCCTCTCAGCTTCCTATCTGTGGACCTCTGGGGTATCAAGGACCAGCAGTGGCAGGGTAGTTCCTGAAGCTAAGGTGCTGATCTAACTCCTGCTACTTCTAGGCCAAGCTCAGGATACCCCCCTCCAGAACCAGTCCGGCCCAGAGGGTCCCCTATGGAACACAGGAGGGCTGACCTAACCCCAGCAGAGAGCATTCTCACGTCAGGGCACCAGGGACGGAAGGACTCTCACTCTGCAGCTTATCTCTGTACCTCGAGCCCTTTTCTGTGTGCAAAGCACTAGGCATGCTATCTGGCATATAGCAGATGTTCAATGAACATCAACTACTATTAATAGTAGCAAGAGGTTCCTAAATCACAGTGAAAATGCCTCTCAGAGACCTCTTTTTCTCAGGGGTTATGAAGCTCTTGAAATCCTAACCATATGCTATCCTCACAACTAACTCTACAAGAGGCAGAGAAGGGGGTGGGGTGAGAAGCTCCCTGGGGTCACATACCTCCCCTCTCTACAGGCCAAGAGAAGCTTCTGGAGTTTCAACAAGAGACTAGGACCCAAGGGAAATACAGAATCATATAGACTCGCAGAGGAACATTGCATCTGAGTTGGTCTTTGCTGGCTTGTGATTATGACATGGTAACATTATCCTGGGAATTCTTCTATTATTCCTGGACTGCCTTCCACCCCGCTCCCCCAGCTCCCACCCTCAGGACAGTCAAAGTCAAAAGAATCCTCTCAGGAAATAAAAGCCTTTTTCCAAACCAGACTCAGAACCAATACGTATTTCCAAGGGTGTGAGGTATTTAAAAGAAAATACTTCGTTTGGGACTAATTGAAAATTGTCCATGATAGAATTGGTGGGTCCAGTTGGGGGCTAGGCAACATGCCATATACTTTATATATTTCATTTAGTTTAGATAACCTTAAAAAACCCTCCCATTTCAAAACACTCTAAAACACTGGATGAAATATAACAATCGTTGATTTATATGCATAGCCGAGCTCACAAGAAAGCAAGATAAGTCCCCAGAGGACAAAAGCAAAGAGGAGACTGAGAAATCAGAATATTAACTATGTGAGCCAATGCTTCCAACAGCCCAGTGGAGGTGGAAGGTGAGGGGAGGGGTTGCTGGTCTCAGCAACCAAAGGGCTTGGGTTTTAACACCCACTTGGGGGCAGCTGTGAGGCTTTGGGCCTACATAAAGCACAGAATTGGAATGAAGCGCAGAACTAGCATAAAAGTAAGAAAGTGGAAACCTTTGATGAAGACGTAGACTAGGAAAAAATATTGTTAGACACACTGATGATAAGGAAGCTAGCCTATAGTCTAGGCACTGCGGGGAAGAAAAAGGAAACAAATCTTCTAGGAATTTGTAACCGCAAGCTAATATTCACACAGACATAGGATTCTGTGTCTGCATGGTCTTGTATAGGCCAGATCCACCTAAATTAAAAATTAACATAAAATGGTCCCAGCCAAGAATAGTCTAATAGAAGTGATTCCAAAATATTTCCTGGGAACCTACTCCTAAACCAGGCTGCCCAGGATTCTCATTGATAAAACTCCATTGAAAGTTAGCTAATATTAAACTGAGAGATAGACAATCTCTAACATGGCCCCTAATGACTTCCAGCTCCTGGCATTCACACCTTTGTGCAGTCCACTCCCATTGAGTGTGGACTAATTGGTCCACTTCTAATTAATAGAATACGGCGGATACAATGGACTGTCACTTCTGATATTTGATTACAGAAAGGGTGTGGCTTTCATGTTAGATATCTTCTTTCACCCTCTCTCAGAGCCTTTGCTCCGGGGGAAGTAGGCTGTTAAGTTGTGAGTAGCCCTATGGTAAGTCCCACACGTCAAGAAACTGATACCCCTGGCCAACAGCCAGCAAGGACCTGAGGCCTGTGGACAACCCTGTGAGTTAGCAGGGAAGCAGACCTTCCTCCAGTCAAGCCTTGAGATGACCGCAGCCCTGGCTAACACCTTGGCTGAAGTCTTGTGAGACACTGATCCAGGTGCCACCCAGCTAGGCTGTGCTCAGATTTCTGACCCACAGAAACTGTGAGACAATAAAGATTTGTTATTCTAAGATAAAATGTTTGGGGTAATTTATTATGTAGTAATATATAACTAATACAAACTATGACATAAACAAGAACTAAACTGTTACTGAGTTAAGCCATTGAGAATTTAAGGTTCACCTGTCATAGCAGCTTGTGTTATCTTAGCTAAAACAGATTAGCTTTCCAACTATGTTTAAAATTTCTAAATCAAAAGATAGAACTGAAAATGTAAGAAGAGAATAAAAGTTTTGAAAAAGACTATAAAGATTTCAAAAACAAAATCAGATTAAGAACTGAAAAGAAAGTCAGTGAAATTAAAAACACAGTGAGATAACAGTAGATGAGACACAACTGAAGAAAAAATTAGTGAACCAGAAGATACATCTGAGAAACTAACCAGAAAAGAGCACAAAGACAAAGAGATGGAACACATGGAGAGGTTAAAATACATGGAGGAAAGAAAAAGAAGGTCCTACATACAAGTAATAGGAGTTTCAGAGAAGAGACTAGATAGAATGTGGAAGAGGCACCATTTGAAGAGATAATGATGGCAGTTGAAAAATTTCTATACTTCCAACTTAAGCATAACAAAGAAAGGATGACACCAAATCCTATCCCACCAAGACAACTATAAAGCTGGACAACACTGTCAAAAGTAGCTATTTAATCACGCTGAAAATCAATCAAAAAATTTATTAGTGAAAATTACTGAACTTTGGGTAAGAACAGCAGGAGTCTGTGGTATGTTTGCCTGGGGCTGCTCTCAATACCTAAGCTCCCAATAGCTTAACAGGGTGGGGCAGGTGGTGAAAACCAGCTGCTACACTGCCTATGGTAAAAGGGCCTCACTTAATTTGGAGCTTCATCAGTTAGAGTGTCAAAAAGAGAAAGAGCCAGCAGCACTGAGAGGCTGAGGTTTTGACACTGTTTGGGGCAAGCTATGGACTGGCAG